GTTATGGCATAGGCCACATAAACTGAGGCTGGCACTCTACCCAGGCGATAGCTTGAGGCTCTGAGGCTCTGTTGACCAAAAAAAAAAAAAAAAAAAAAAGAGACCCTTTGTCTCAAAATAAATGATGAATAGGCTTGGAGCCCGTAGCACATTGGTTATGGCATAGGCCACATAAACTGAGGCTGGCAAGTTCAAACCCAGCCTGGGCCAGCTACACAACAATGGCAACTGCAACAACAAAAACAAAAAATAGTTGGGCATTGTGGTGGGCTCCTATAGTCCCAGCTACTTGGGAGGCTGAGGCAAGAGAATCTACTGGCATAGTGAGGCCCTGTATCCAAAAAAAAAAAAAAAAGATAAATAAATAAATATTGCTTTTTCTGATCTAGTTCACAGAATTCATCTAAACAGATCACCCTCTGACCACTATCCTATCCACTGGCCCTTGGCTTCTACTATCTCCTGATCTTTGGTCTCCTCATCTTTCCTTTTCTTTTTTGTTTGTTTTTTTGAGACAGAACCTCACTATGTCACCCTGGGTAGAGTGCTGTGGCACCACAGTTCACAGCAACCTCCAACTCTTGGGCTTAAGTGATTCTCTTGCCTCAGCCTCCTGAGTAGCTGGGACTATGGGAGCCCACCACAATGCCCACCTATTTTTTGGTTGTAGTTGTCATTGGTGTTTGGCAGGCCCGGGCTGGATTTGAACCCACCAGCTCTCGTGTATATGAGCTCTGGTGACCTCATCGCTTACTTAGCAGCTGGTGCTCTAGCTGCTGAGCTATGGGTGCCATGCCTCCTCATCTTTTCACTTATTTCCTAACCGTTTGATCACCCTTGTCATATCCTCAGGCTTCTTGCCCCATTGCTTGTCCTAGGAAAGCCTGGCTGGACCCCACCTTGGACTAATTCAACCCAGGGTTGCTGGCGAAAGAGAGTAAATTGGAACACCATGAATTCCTGATCTCCAGCCATGAGTAGGAATCTCAATGGTTGCCTGGAGGCAATCTTTCAGGGCTTTCTGCTCAGCTTCTTCTCTCAGTCTGCTCAGCACCTATTTCTTTTTTAAGAGATGGCAGCTCATTAAGTTGTCCAGGCTAGACTCAAACTCCTGGGGCTCAAGTCATCCTTTTGCCTCAGCCCCCTGAGTAGCTAGTTAGGACTACAGGCATGTGGCACCGTAGCCACATCTACAGTGGCTCTAGCATCTATTTCTAAACCTCTATTCAGTCAAGTTCTCCCACCTACTTCCTTCAGTGGGTGACCTCATTGCTTACTTAGCAAAGAGAAGTAGCCCAGGCAGCACCTGTGGCTCAGTGGGTAGGGCACTAGCCCTATATACCGAGGGTGGCTGGTTCAAACCCGGCCCCCAGCCAAACTGCAACAACAACAACAACAACAAAAAATAGCCAGGCATTGTGTTGGGCACCTGTAGTCCCAGCTATTCCGGAGGCTGAGGCAAGAGAATTGCCTAAGCCCAGGAGTTGGAGGTTGCTGTGACACCACAGCACTCTACTGAGGGCGATAAAGTGAGACTCTATCTCTTAAAAGAAAAGAGAGAGAGAGAGAAAGAAGTAGCCCAGCCCAACTGTTGTACTATAAATCCATACCTACTTTCTTTCCTCTTTCCCCAACTGATCCTGGAGTAGGTGTCCCTCTTTTATGATGCTACTGGGCATCACAGGAACATTCTTGCTGGCTCATCCCTTTATTTCCCCACAAGAAATAATAATAATTTCTTCCACTTTCAACCTACTCCACATTCTTCCAATTGAAATAATTATCCTTTGACCCTCATCTCCTTTCCATGACCATCTTTTTTCTTGTTCCTTTCATAAAGGAAAAAGTCTGTGGTCTGCTCAGCTCGCCATATACAGTGTAGCCCACCAGCAGGCCTTGCCTCCCATTGGCCAGGTAAGTGGTTATGTGGGGCTGGATTATTCAAGCTTCTTGGAAGCGCTGTCTACCCTGGCTGCTCTAATTCTTCACCTCCATTCATATCTTACCATTTTGGCTTCTGTCCCTATCCTGGCCTGAATCAGTTCTTGTCACTGTCACCAGTGATCTCCTTTTTGTTAAAGCTCAGGTATACTTCTGCAGCCCCATCTAATTGTACCTTTCAGCAGCAGCAGCAGCAGCCACTGCCACTATCCCGTGCTTAAAGTACTCTCTTCCTTTGACTTCTGGACCTTCAGATCTCCTGGTTTCCCTTCCACCTCTCTGGACGCTCTTCTGTTTCATACCCAGACTCACCTCCTCTGGGAGCCTCCTAAATTCTTGTGCTCCCCAGGGTCTATCCTGGGCCTCTTCTAATTTCTCAGGATCCCAAGACCTCATTCACCTTCCCTAAGCCACCGTTTCCCACTCAGATCTTCCTTGTGGAAGTGGGGGAAGCCATATCCAATTGCCCTCTGGATAGTTCCACCTAATGTTTCCAAGCCCTTCAACTTCACATGTCCAGAATTGATCTCTCTCCTCCCCCCCAGATCTGCTGCATGGCCTGAGTGCCAGGCAGTGAAGAGCATCACACTCGCCTAACTTCTCACTCTGCATTAGCCCTACATCCAGTCTCTCATCAAGTCCTGATAATCTAAGTCCTAAATATCAGTAAAGTTCCCTCATCTCTAACTCTGCTACCAAAATCCATGGCCAGGTGGTCACTATCTTTTGCCCAGATTAATGCAAACACACTCTAACAGATCTCTTCTTTAACTTGCCTGTCTGCTCTCCACTTAGAAGTCCCCATGTGCAAACCACACACATGATGGAGCTACTCCCTGCTTAAAGCCCATCCTGGCTTCAGCTGCCCTCAGGACAAGTCCAAAGTTTTGTTGTGGCTGTTAACCCCTCTGCAGCAAGCGGGGTTCCTCTCTTTTCTCACCATTGTAGCCATCCCTGTTGAGGTCGCCCAGAGGTGCGATGGCAGAGCCAAATCGCCCATACAGCTGTGTGCCGGTCAGCAGGAGGCTGAGAGTGCCCAGTGTGTGAGGGCCTCTGGGCTGCAGGAATAAATACACGCGCCCCACCTCGGCCAGCTTGCGGTCTGCCCGGCTTTCCATGTACAGTGGAGCACCCACTAGCAGATCATGCTTCCTGCAGGCCAGATGGTTGGTTACAGAGGGCTGGGCTGGGGCTAAATCTCACCCACCTTCTCTCTCCCCATCCTTTGAGTGGATACGTGAGAATCGGGGCTAGGAAAGGAAGAGATTGAGGGCAGCTCCTGCCTCTGGTAACTGGAGATCCAACTAGATAGGGGTGGAGTGTCCCTCTCACCCATCCCCATTGACATCAGTGACAGCTACTGAGTGTCCGAAATATGAGGCCATCTGCAAGAAGATGAGCAGCATCTTAATTCACACCTCTGGACCCTGCACCTTCTTATTCCAGGGTCTCAGCTCAAAGGCTTCCAACACTCCCAATGGGATCCGGCGCCTACCTGCTCTCCCTGTAGCCGGTGCAGCGTGCGGAAGTGCAAGTCCAAAATTTCCACCTGCACAGACAGCGCACCAGGAGCGTGTCATTCTTGTTCCCTACCCTAGCCTCCCGCTCCGGGTGAGAAAGGACAGATGGTTTTCAGGGAGGAGGAGTTGTCAACTTGGGGTCTGGGGTCGGGGAATTCGGGATGCCAAGTGGCAAGGAAGGGGGACACTCACCGCTCCCAGGGTCCAGCTCCGAGTAGGGGCACCGAAGACATATTCTGGGGAGAGCCGGCTCAGCGAATGAGAGCCGTAGAACCTCATCCCTCTTGATCCCCCATTCCCCTCCCAGGGGAGATTTCCTTGCCCAGGGAAGATTTCAGAGAGGCGCTCCTCCCTGGGCTGGGCTTCCCAACCCCTGTCCCTAAGTTAATTCCTTGCCTGTAGTGCTGAGATCCCCGTCGAATTCACCCACCGCCACTGAGTACCCTGAGGATACAGCTCAAATTAGTCTTTACAGAAAGAGCGAAGCAGGGAGGGGATGAGGGCAAGGAACGACGGGACTCGAGGGCCATCATTCCAAACCCCACACTGTGCAGATGGGAAAACTACAACCACCAAGAAGCCAAGACCTGCCCTAGCCTGCACTGCTAGTCCAAGGAGGAAAGGGAGGGATGATATTTATTGGAGTTGGGTAGTCTTAGGGAAGCCTCAGGTGCAGATGGCACCCCGGCTCCCCCAAGGATAGGAGGATAGTAAGGTGTGGGCGGTGACCCTGGGGTGTTGAGAAGCCTGAGAGGGAGGTGCCAGGTTACCCTGGTAGCCGTGGAAGTACTCTTTGTTGCCGGAGCCAGAAGTCAAGCGCTGGGTGGGCACGTGCCACAAAAGGGCACCCGGACGGTAACTAGAGATGATATCAGCAATTGGAGCCCGGGCCAGGAGACCTAGGGCGCCAGGCACAAGGGGCGTGGGGGTCAAGACGCCTGGGGCTTCCCCAGGCTGTAAGAAGACAGGGAGGTGTATGGACCCGCACATACCTAAGAAAAAATAGCCGCCAGGAGCCCCAAGTACCAGCTCCCCAGTCTGAAAGGGAAACCCTGAAGGTGAGAGGCATCACTGTCCAGGGGCTGCCCCCACACCGTTTTTGCCTTCTTGCTTCCTACTTGCCTGGGTGACCGCTGAGCTGAAGCCAGCTTCGCAGTAGCGATGGTCGTCCCCTAGAGGAGGTAAGGAGGGGGGTCAGCGAAAGGACTGTTCAGTAGGCGTGCACTGGGACCTGGAGTTGGGCGGGGGCGGGGCCATGGGGTATCACGTAGAGGCGTGGCCTGGAGGGGCGGGGACGGGGCCAGAACCTGGGATTTTGGGTGGCCAGATCGAATGCAAGGTCTGGGCGCTGGGGGAGGGATCAAAAGAAGGGCGGAGCTTACTATATCTCCTTTCCGGGTAAACGCTGCTCATGGTATTCGCTCTGCAGGGTGAGTACTCCGCGCGGCCGCCGCTTTGGAGCTGAGCTACGAAGCAGCCACCTACAGGCGTCTTCTCAGCCTCGTCGGTCTTTTCTAGGGCGTTCCAGTGCTGCCAGGGGGCACAGGCCTGGAGCAGGGCCACAGGAAAGTGGGGAAGGGCGGGAGACTTGGCTTCCCCTACAACATTACCCTGCCGCCAATTGTTCCCTGTGCCCTATACCGCGGGGGCCCACCACAATGATGTTGTTCCAGCTGACGACCGACGCCCCCAGTCCTTGCCCGGCCTTGAAAGTTTGGAAAATCTGGGAGCCTACTTTTCGGGTCTCATCATCTAGAGGGCACAAGAAGGGGTGGGTTGCTGAAGCAGCTATCCACGTCTCTCTGGTCCCCTCCCTTTTTCCTCTTTGGGACTCACTGAGGTTGAAGTGCAGTGAGGAGCACTGGCCGCCCTCCGCCCTCCAGGGGCACAGGAACACGCCACCGGTTTCCTTCTGGTCGGGACCCAGAGTCCGCGGTGCGCCCACCACGATGGCCACACTGTGTAGGAAAGCTGGGTGAGCGCGGCGCAGACTCTGGCTTTTTTGGATTCTGATCCAAGCCCGTGTCCACGCTGGGAGTATTCTCCAGAAGGCGGTGTGGCATTGGGGTGGGGGACACCATCTCTCCTCAATGAGACCTCACAGACCACCAACGCCCACCTCTTCATTTTATGGTCAGTGAAATTGACTCTCAGCGAGGGAAATCACGTGCCTAAAGAAACCCAAGGAGTTGAGAGTAAAGCTGGGACTTTTATCTATCTTTGCTGAAAAAGACCTCTTACACGCTGTACGCTATTCCAACAAAAACCAGGGATTTACATGCTCCCTAGAACGTCTGGCTCTCGACTGTTACCATATCCCTTCTTGAGATGTTTTTTGCTGTTGTTGTCGTTTTTTGTTTTGTTTTGTTTTGTTGAGACAAAGTCTCTGTTATCCTGAGCAGAGTGCCATGGCATCATCATAACTCACAGCAATCTCAAACTCTTGGGTTCAAGCCAACCTCTTGCCTCAGTTTTTTCTATTCTTAGTGGAGATGGGGTCTCCCTTTCTTGCTCAGGCTGGTTTGGAACTCCTGAGCTCAAGGAATCTGCCGGCCTCAGCCTCCCAGAGTGCTAGGATTAAAAGGTGTGAGCCACCATGCCAGGCCTGAGGTCTGGTTTTAATAGTTAAGATAGAGGGAAGCTAGAGGGTACCTCTAAAGTGGGAGGTGGGGTGCTGATAGACCTTAGAAGATCTAGGGTTTTTTTTGTTGTTGTTTGTTTGAAACAGATTCACTCTCTAATCTCAGGCTATAGAGTTGTGGTGTCAGCCTAGTTCACAGCAACCTCAAACTCTTAGGTTCAATTGATACTCCTACCTCAGCCTCCCCAGTAGCTGGGACTACTGGAGCCCACCACAAATCCTGGCTAATTTTTCTATTTTTAGTAGAGACAGGGCCTCACTCTTGCTCAGGCTGGTAGATCTAAGTTTTT